AATATGTAGTCGTATATTGTCGTCGCCCCTGATCCGTCGGTCCATCCGTCCGTCGGTCCGTCCGTCAACATTGCTTGTGAGCACTATAGAGACTACAGTTTTTATCTGATTTTGATCAAACTTGGTGTGATGCTTTAGATTGATAAGATCTCGGTCAAGTTCGAATTTGACATATTTTCGATGAACGGTTTTTGAGATATTGCCCTTGACTTAGAACGCCTTGAAATTTGTTAAAAATTGTTCGTGAGCAGGATTGACGCTACAGTTTTCAACCAATTCTGATGAAACTTGGTGTGATCATTGGAATTGATAAGATCTCGGTCAAGTTCTAACTTGACGCATTTTCGATGAACGATTTTTGAGTTATTGCCCTTGACTTTGTTAAAACGCGTCGAAATTTGTTAAAAATAGTTCGTGAGCAGGATTGAAGCTACAGTTTTCAACCGATTCTGATGAAACTTGTTGTGATCATTGGAATTGATAAGATCTCGGACAAGTTCTAACTTGACGAATTTTTGATGAACGGTTTTTGAGTTATTGCCCTTGACTTTATTAAAACGTGTCGAAATTTGTTAAAAATAGTTCGTGAGCAGGATTGAAGCTACAGTTTTCAACCGATTCTGATGAAACTTGGTGTAATCATTGGAATTGATAAGATCTCGGACAAGTGTTAACTTGACGCATTTTCGATGAACGGTTTTTGAGTTATTGCCCTTGACTTTGTAAAAACACGTCGAAATTTGTTAGAAATAGTTTGTGAGTAGGATTGACGCTACAGTTTCCAACTGATTCTGATGAAACTTGGTGTGATCATTGGAATTGATAAGATCTCGGACAAGTTCTAACTTGACGCATTTTCGATGAACGGTTTTTGGTTTATTGCCCTTGACTTTGTTAAAATGCGTCGAAATTTGTTAAAAAAAGTTTGTGAGCAGGATTGAAGCTACAGTTTTCAACCGATTCTGATGAAACTTGTTGTGATCATTGGAATTTATAAGATCTCGGACAAGTTCTAACAAGAGATATTTTTTATGAAAATTTTTTGAGTTATTGCCCTTGACTTTTTAAACATGCGTCAAAAGTTGTTTTTTGCCCTTGATTAGAGCTGTGTGATTTAATTGTTTGATGTATTTGGGTTATTGATATTGATTTTAAAACATTTTGTGGAATTATTCAGCATAAATAATTTCTTCAATATGAGAAAATTCGTACTTTAGTCACTAAAGACTGTTTTATTATTTCTGACAGCTGCCAATGAGCATATGTTACCTTGCAACGCAAACTATCTTATGAATATGTATACACATACCGAATTTCATTTGATGCCATCAAAAAATCTAGTTTTTAGAGCGTTTACAAGCAACTGTTGACGGACGGACCGACGGACAGACAGGGGTGCTGACAATATACGTCCACATAGAGAGATGTGGGCGTATAAAAACAAAGTTCAAGGTAGTAATCTTTAAATAGTGTCATTGCTTTTGATGAAATTGCTGAAAATTGTTGTAATTTGACAACAAAAACTCTTATCATGCACTTACTAGACATTAAATAAGACACCTTTGTGTAAAACATGCATTTGTTTTCATATTATCATATTTTATCTCTTTTTGAAACAGGTATTACTTACAGAATTACAGAAAACTATTATTTGGTTTGCACAACATGTATCAGATCACAGTGGTTTTCATTACCGCCAGTTTCTACTTACCTCATTAATGAACCAATCAAAAACATTGTTACATAAATACCATATAGATATAAATGATATAATAACTCAGGAATTTGATAAGACTTGTGATTTGATTGCATGTTTTCCAGGACATGAAGCTCTGTGGTATCACAGGTAGGAAATTACATTAAGCTTTTGTGCAAAAGGACTTCAACTGTGTAGAGTATTTGGATGATTAATTTCATAGGTTACAATGTACTTTGGTCAGCCATCTGTATCAAAAAATTAATTTAATGTCAAAAGGCACATATGAAGCATATGAAGTTTTTTGTTTTCAAAATACAAAAAAATCTAAGAAAACCTATTTATCAAAAACACTAAAATGTTTAAATTGAATTTTGAAAACTTGCTGCCAAATCCACATATTTTTTTTAAAGTCTAATTTACGAGAGTAAAATTTTTATTGCAGGAAATTTTTATTCTACAGTCTTATCAACCTAACCAATGAGATTAAAGAGACTAGTACAGATGATGAAAGTGTAAAGAATAAAGGTGGAAATTTAAAACGTAGCAGGCGTGAAAGTAATAAGACTAATTTCATAGAAAAAGAAATATCAGGTGTGACAACAGACAAACAACAATGTAGTGATCAAAGACAAAATCGGTTTGCTGATCGTTACATAACATGGCTCAAACAAATGCTCAAAATGTAAGGCTTTAAGAAAATGACAAGCAGGATTCTCAATTTATATGACATTGTGACTAGATTTGCAATTTTGGCATTTTGCTATTTTAGTTAACAATTTATGAAGGTGTGCTAAACCAGTAATGGCATTTTTAACTGTTTTGAACTGTGTAAAATTAAGCTTGGCATCAATTTAGTTTTTCTTGAAATTTTGAATCTCTTTATTTTAAATCTGAGGTTTCTTAACTAATTGTTTTATTATTTTTGAGGGGTTCTCTTGCACAGTAGATTACAAACTTTACTTGACATCAATTGCTTTGGTTAATTGGAACAATCTAGGTCAGTCTAGTGACCTTGAATAAGTCATTTAACCTCATTATTAGACCCAGTTGTAAATGGGTACAGTTAATCCAGAAAAGATCATGCCAAGAAGTTTGGCCATGTTTGGTAGAAAGGAAAGGAAAACTGATTTTTTTACACGGTTCTAGCAAGCACATGTTTTTTTAAAGCAATTTAACAGGGTATTATTAAGCCAGATGCAAGCTGTAAATGATACTAATAATATTAGTTCTTTTTTTACATTGACAATTCATTGTTATCTTTTATTTATTATTTATTATCTAAGTTTTTTAACAAATAAAACTCTTAACCACTTTTGTGGACACACATAGTGTTTTTTTAGAAATCATGGATGTATAAAGTCATAAAATGAAATATGTCTTTGTCGCGAATGCAATGCATTGTAAGAGCTAAAGTACAGATGAACATTGCTGTATATACCATGTGAGGCAGTGAATATTAGCCAACCAAAAGGACTTTAATTTTTATATGAGAGGGGTTGCCAGTAAAGATTTTTTTTTTAAAAAGATTCACCTAGAGCTGTATTCAAGAAGCATGTAGATTTAAATGAGTTACATCATAGTATCCCCAATACGAATGGAACTGACCGTGGAGAAACACAGTAGAATATACAACATTTTGGACATGCTGAAGAGACAATGATAGTTACAATGACCAGCATCGCTATTGAAACAAGGAGAGCAGAGTATTGAAATATTGACAAGTCATTTTAGTTATAAACTAATTTTAATAGGTAAAGGAATGTAGAGATTTAAAATACTGAATCATCAAAAATACACAACAAATATTTCTCCTTAAAACAAATTAAAAACTGAAAACACATATATACCAAAAATGGTTTCTTTATCACAAAATGAAAATGCAGAGCAGTGTGAAATACAGTAAAAACTATTGTGAACTAAATAATCAGACATGACTGGTAAAAGCAGTCAAATCAACAGCCCTGATAATGGATCAAAGGTTTCTTATATTTACTACACTTTGTTCTTTGTCTTTATTATGTGTTTAAAACATAAAATTTTACAATAGGTTCCAGTAAATATAAGGGAACCTAAAGGCATTTTGTTCATATTATTATAATATTTGTGTTTATATCTGTTATTCTAAGACTATTATTATCATTTCCATTGCCTTCAAAAATGTTTCTAAATCAAATGAATGGAGTTTTATATCCTCCTTCCCTGCACCTGCAATGGGCTAAAAAGAAGAAGAAATATTTGAAGAGCTCTTTTTCAGTTTCAGACACCTAGCATATAATCACTTGAAAAAATACAGAATAAAACTTTTAACAACTGGCTCCAATTTCATATTTTTGTGTGAATTTTCCATTTCTCTTGATTTTGATTTGAAAGTGACCTCATAGTAGAATTTCTTTAGAATGAAATATATTATTTATACCCACCCCCCACCAGCCCCATTACTTATTCAACAAAAAACTTGTTACTTAATCAATACACTTTCTAGGCTGAAGGCTCATTTAAAAAATTACGTTTTAGTATTATTTTGATACAACCAAAAGCACATGCCCCTGGGTATAGCTTGTCAAGCATAATTTTAATTTCTTTATTGCTTAGATTTAAAAGAATCAATTCATCATATATGCCAATATCAGACGGATATCTTGTTTCCCCTCCCAAAATAATCAAATTACCCTGATGTGACGTAACCCCAAAATTATAACGATCAAAATTAGGAATGGTGGCCAAAGAACACACAGCACCATCTTCTAATACTTTCATGACATTTCCATTAGTTAAGACAACTAAACTATCATCATTAATATTAACAGCTCGACTCTCAGTGACTGGACATGGAAATACTGAAATTATACTTGTTGTTCTTAGGTTCACATCTATCATTTGAATCTCAGGACACATTCGACTAGACTGCCCTCTTCCACCAAATACAAAAATTTGATCTTTAATAACTGTGGATGAGATTGAATAAACACCAATTTGTAACTCGCCAAAATCAGACCAAGAGTCGTTTATGGTATCATATTTATCAATTGTCTCTAGGGCTCCACTTCCCCTATTACAGCCCCCTATCACATATAAATCATTCTCTATTGAAACCATAGCATGGAAACTTCGTCGTTTTGTAATATCTGGACACGAGCGCCATCTGTTTAAATCACTGATATATTGAAGGAGATAACTCTTTCTACCACTAGCTCCAGAGATAAATATATTATTATTACAAGAACACACAGCAAAGCCAACTCCTGGATCAAAAGGCAATGATTCTAATGCAAACCAGGTTTTTTGCTGAAAACTGTATCCATTAACTGCTGGCGAATCACAAGATGATACTTTTACCCCAATTGTAACTAATATTTCTTCAAATTGTCTTGGTAAACAGCCAGACTCATCACCATAATGAAACTTGGCTCGTTGTGATATAGCTTTGCAAATTGACGGTCGGCATATATTATAACATGAATCGGAATCACAGAGTGTTAAATAATCTTCAAGACGTTCCATAGAAACAAATTTTAAACGGACAAATTCAAGCAGGCTTTTTGCATAGCTTTTCCGTTCATCAGCACAGTTCATCCATTTTATCACAGCTTGTGAAACCACATCTTCATTTTTGATACGTAATTCATCACATTTAATTAGTGTCAATAAATCTTCATAATCAGCAGATAGAAACTCATCTTCTAGTGTCACTTCTTCAAAATTTTCTTTAATAAATTCAGTAGTTTTCTGACACAATGACTGACTATTTAAACATTTAGCAAGTTTTAAAATGTCCCAAGCATTGTCAAAATGAAGCTGTGATAAATAAAAATCTTCACATTTTTCCAGAAGACACTTCATCTGTAAAATAGAAGCTGCCCTGAGAAGTTCTTCAGCATTGTCCATAGTCACAATTGAGTCTTTTCCATAGTAATAGAAGGCCAAAATATCACGAAATAATGAACCACTGATGTCTGCAATTGATACATGACCATCCAAACTTTCCTTCATCCCAGATAAGAACATGGCTTGAAAGTAATCGGATATAGCACACAGAAATACTTTATGACAGTGAAATATTTCACCTTCAACATTGATCTGAATGTCAGTAAATGTTCCTGCAGAAAAATATTTACCAAATCCATCTAAAACTGACACAGCTATTCTGTTTTCCCAACTCTCCATCTTGATTCTCTGAATATACTAACTCTCATGTCACCATATCTGAAGAAGTAAAATCATGAAATCAACTGGAATCTTAACAAAATACGAAATATTGTCTCATCAATTTTATAAATAATAAATTACTTATCATTTGACACTTTACATAAGTGTTTTTAGTAACTGTCAGCTGCATTTTTTTACGAAGATATGCCTTCTTATCCTAGACTACAGACACAGTACACTTAACTGTATCTCTGAAAACATGTATAGTCTTGAACTTGAAGTTTGACTTGTTGTGCAGCCACACATACTACTAGAAAACATTGTTGAATACCAAACTATTAACACTTGACAAAATATCATTAACATAATTATGATGATATATGACAGTATTTAGATTAGACTGGTGGCAGTCAAATGAGAGCTGTCTCCACACATACTTGAACTTGAATGAAGTGAGTTGCACATCAATCAGCTTTCCCATACACCTCAACTTCACTGTCACCTATATATTACATATAAATTTCAATTTAGACAAAAGAGAGTGAATTCAGTGGCAAACAATAATACGTACTGTATATGTGTAGTTTGAAGGATCTAATTCAATATCAATTTTAGAGATTAGATTCGATGGCATAGATAAGAAGAGATCAAATTTTTGTTTTTGTTTTGTAACCGGAAGTACTTAAGTTGTATATACACTGGTTGCGTCCCTTTGAAATGTCAAAGAAATTGGTGAGAAATCTTTGCCGACCTTTCCCTCTTTTAACAGTGTTTCGATACCCAGATCAAATTTACTTATTCATAATGAAAACAATTGAATGTAATAGGCTGGTTTTCCGGAATTTTCCCACGAATTTTACCTGTAGTTTTCTTTGTTTTCGGGTTGTTGCCAGATATTTTTGGGTCGTTGCCCAAAAAAATCAATAATAAGGTAAATCCATAGAGCTAAAAATACATCTATGGGTAAATTGGACCTTCTTAATTATTTGAAATAGAACGAGGGTCTAGTCTGGCAACACTACTGACTTTGTTAATACCACGTGATTTAATCATGTGACACAGGTCGCCTTGAGAAGGCTAAGCAGACGTATTAAACTACATTATCGTTCTGTTTTAATTTTAATATTGCGGTCCTTTATTTGAAAGTCATTCTCGTGCAGATTTTGAGACCAAATATTGTATACAAGTAACTGTAAGTGTATTAATAGACCTAGTTAATCTAATATTAAACACAAAAGCTGTCGTGTTAAAAGAAAAGGCCTAGCCTATCTGACTGGTACCGTATATAATTTATCTCTAGGCCTACTACCTCTTACATGGCTCTGGTCATGGCGAAGACCGTCATGGTGCCATATTAAAGACATATCGGTAGCTATTGCCTTTTAACAATTTTACAATTGACTTTTAATATTAGCCTATAGCCCATTCCTCTTAAATTTATGCCAATTATTGCTAGTAATTTAGTAAAGGATATCGATAAACCTAGCCAGTAGTAATTTTATAATTCTGATTCACCTGAATGCGAAAATTTTTTTTTTATTATTTAAGATCATAATGGAAGAATTTTATGAACGATTGAAAAAGAGTTTCGAACCAAAGCCACCTCCTGCTAAAAAGAGACCAAAAGGTCAAAAAATACGGAAAACGCAGTTAACTCCATATCAACAATGGTCGCGATCTCTCAAGCAAGGAAATTCGTCAACATCATTTCATACAGAAATAAATCAAAGAGATCAGAGTGTCTCAAGCACAACGCCAACAATTACCAAACCCCCTCCATTACCAAGACAACCATTCCAAGATGTGAAAAATATTACTAGCACTCAAATAAGAGCTATTTCTGAAACACAAGCAAAACGCATATCTAAAAAGAGGAGCAAACCTATGGACAATATGCACTTTATTAGGGTGGGTTGCAAAGAAAACCCATTGAATGTAGATGGAATGGTTCCAATGCTTGCGATTCCTTTGGGACCTGTTTCTAATCTACCACACATTAATCCAATTTACCAGATTCAGAAACAACCAATACAAATTCAGATACCTTTACCAACACAACATTTATTGCAAGATGTCCACTTTGATTTTGACTTTTCATCCGAACCTTTCCAACTTCCAAATTGTTTTCAAACCAACGACTTAGAATCTGAGGATCAAAGTATTTTAGAATTATTTCCAACCATTGAAGAATGGGATTATGAGACATTGGATGAACTGATTGAAGAGGCTGAAGCCGAAACAGAGATACCAGATTTTGATGGTATCGAACCGATTTTAGACAACCTCCCAGAGGCATTAAATACCAGTCTTGCAAACGCCCTGAATCTCTCAATCCGGGAAGATTTAGAACCATTTGAAGAACCAGTTGAAGATATCGAAGTACTGATTTCACAAATTCCTTCACCACCACCAAAATCTGCAATACTTCAAGATGTTTCATTGTTAGAGAGGACCACTTGTAAACCCGACGTTAGTCTTCACAGAAATAAAAGTCGCAACTTAATCTTTACTTCAAATGTTCAGATCGTCAACAGTAGTCATGAACAATTTAAAAACAACACATTTTCAGATATTGTCTTGGAGTGTAACGGAAAAATATATGCAGAATCATCTAACGTCCACAAATCCTTTACGCAGATGCTTTTAGATAAATCTCCTGTGTCTGAAGATCAATTTTCCATTACACGCGATATTCAATGTGAGATTGACGAGCTTGACAATCCGCTGATCGATCCAGATCTGGCTTATACTCTCAGTGAATCAAATATGGTTGCCGATTTTGGTCATCATTCGTTTTTTGATGGTTCGCGAAATTCCGAAAACAATGACGAGAATGAAAAGATATTGGCAAAACAATTTATCGAAGTCTTTGAAAGTGTTGAAAAATTAGTCATAGATAACAAGCAAAATAGAAGGTTAGCAGAAACATTGAGAATGGAAAAAGAAAGAGTTTGTGAAATAATTTATGATGGTGATGAACCATGGTTAGCTCAAGATGATTTAATAAATGAAACCAAAGAAGTGAATTTGAGATCGGATTTGGTTTACAGAATGTATGAAGAGGAAAACATTGATAAAGAAGAATTAATGGAGGAGAATAAGAACATCAACTGCCTAAACCAAGAGGAAGACTCTTTATATACTACCTTTTATAACGTATAAAAATTTAGTTGATATGCATGTATGTGTATTCAAGTGTTACATTATTTGTGAAGTACTTCTACGAGGTTATTAAAAGCAGAGTAGAAAATCATTGCCATGAGTAAAGGCTTTTGTTTGAGTTTTATTCTTAAGTGGTAGCGTTTTTGCAGATTTAAAAAATCTTTGACAATATAATAATTGTTTGTTACTGTAACAAAAAGTAACTGTTCAAATGTGCTAAATACTTTTTTGAAGACCGGTCATCAACAAACTTCCCTGTGTTATATTATATGAGTAATTGTCAAACGCCCTGTGAATGCTTTGAGACATGGATGTTTGTCGTCTACGATTTTATTTGCACAATTTATTTTCCTGTATTTGTTGACAATTCTTTGATATAAGTATAAACATTATTATAATCGATTATGCAAACCATATACATGTATTATGAGTCGATGAGTTATTGCCCTTGTGTAAATAAAAAAGATTGTGGCAAAAAGATTTACTGTTTGTTTTTGAAACAGTTAAAGGGAGATGGTGTGCCGGTTAACAATTTTTACAACCTCAATTAAATTGATTCCTTTCTATTGGATAGCAAGTTGTACCTAAATCGGTTTGTTTGGATTGGGCTAATGCTGAAAACCCATCATCGCTATTGTGGTTAACTGACTAAGAAAGGTTTGATTTTAGAATTCCAACGAGACGGGAATAGAAACCTTTTTATACGCCTACATGGAAATATGAACGCATATTGGCGTCGCCTCTGTACACATTTCTTGGTCTATGAACTGACGAAAAAAGGTTTGATTTTATAATTCCAACGAGACGGGAATAGAAACCTTTTTATACGCCTACATGGAAATATGAACGCATATTGGCGTCGCCTCTGTACACATTTCTTGGTCTATGAACTGACGAAAAAAGGTTTGATTTTATAATTCCAACGAGACGGGAATAGAAACCTTTTTATACGCCTACATGGAAATATGAACGCATATTGGCGTCGCCTCTGTACACATTTCTTGTATGTACGATAGAGGCTACAGTTTTCATCTGATTTTGATGAAACTTGCAAGTATGTATTGAAGAGATCTCAGTCAAGTTTTGTAATAATCGGATGAACGGTTTGGCATGTTGGCACGACATAGGCTACAGTTTTATTCCGATTTTGATGAAACTTGATATGTATGTACATATTGATGTACATCAATGATATATTCTTTTATACTGATTAACTAGCACATGTGTGTGAAACACCAGGGTAACGTTTAATTTTGACCATTTACTAGCCGTCATAAAAGTCAATTACTAGTATTTAATCGTAATCACTACACCGCACCAACCAACTCAAAAGATCTATCCTGTTTCGGAATATATTTACCCGATGTTGCGAAGCAGCATGAATTAAAATAGATATGAATAAAAACAAAAGTGATTCAGATCTGGTATTTATTAAAGTTTCACTCTAAGTTTAATATATTGTTCTTTGTCCGTAGTTCCTCAAGCATAGTAAGTATCCGCAGTCTGCAAAAAATCTTCACGTACCACGTACTGATAGATAATTGAGCGATTTTTGCGCTCATTGATGCTGTACGGATCTACAAATAGCAAGAATCATGTGTATTCGCGGAAAAGGTATTTCCCGACATTGGCTTGAATAAGTCTTTACGCATGTTTAATTATGTACGTCTCGTACTTCGAATCACGCATACGGATGTGCATACGACTGCGTTTAACGGACAAAATCTGGACTTATCATTTTGCTCAATATTGTAGATGTAATGTTGTATAAATACAGCTTTCTAGAATCTCAGTTAACAAGTGACTTTTTTCAAACTTTGTATATAACTGTATAATATATGACAATTCAGCATTACATTATGCCAGATTTGTTGATTGATTAATAAAGTAAATAAAGAAAAGAATTAGTTTGGTCAACAAAACTTTTATTGAGATTGAGCAAGTATTTATCCCGTTACATGCCATCAAACAACCTATCAAGGTTTCTTAAAGACTCTTGTAGATTATCCATCTTCAATAAACTGGAACCATTGATAAGAGAGTTTTTAGATGTTTCCGGCTGAAATAGAGAATATTAATTTTGTTTGATACTCGTAAAGATATCGCCAATCGCTACACATAAATTGAAATTGCTATCCTTGATTTCAAATACAATTGTATCAGGGCAGGTCTCGCTGAAATCCACCGTAAAAACTCCATGGGCGAACCATTCATATCCAAAATTAACCTAATTAACCTTATGGTCGCAGATTCATGTGCACTACAGGATCCAATTAATCTGATACTAAACCATAAAGTTAATTCCATATTTGCAACGTGTCGTCCCTTGTTGGTAATGAAGACCGAGGCGGCAGACAAAAACAGTCTTGTTGTTCGGATCAGACTTTTGAGAATTTATGTCAATGAAGGAAAACTGTCGTTGCTGCTTGGGTAGCTTCTTTTGGGAGATACCTACTTGTTCTTTATTCTGAACATGATTATAGTTGCCTATGTATTTTCTTGGTCCATGTCTCATATGGTGTGGTTGTTCAGTAGTACCATAGATAACTAATCTGAGATCTTGTAAAATTCCATTATTTTTGTCATCAGTCTGAAATGAAATATATAAGGCGTGGCCGAGTCTAGTAAAGAACCTATTTGACCATATACATTAAAAGGATCAGCAATATACATCTCATTTCAAGATCCAAGGTAACTAAAGGTTTCATATCGAGTGTGCTACAACAGGTCAAAACTGGCGTAAAACACCTTGATGTCCTTTTTTTATCCTTTCGAACTGAAAAACAATTCCTTAAGAATATTTGTTCTCAATACTTACAGTATCTTCTAGAACAACTTTCCATGTTCCTTTTGGATCCTCTCCCCAGTTATGTACAGACATCAAAGGCCAGCTCTGGAAACCTTTGGTAGATTTATCATAAGGTCTTTCTGACAGCAACATTGTTGTTGTATCTACAAGAAAATAATAGTTAGCCAGTGATAATATAAATGGGTTGTCAACTTTCCCCAGTCGACTATTGGAAAGGATAGAGATATTATTATGGAGACCCCTGATATTGAAAAATGACTCCTTTTTCCTGTAAGAATTGACTCATCTTTGACAGGTCTATAGTAAGGGATAAAGATTGAACATTCGCCAATAAACTTACTTGAAGGTGATGTTATGTGAACACTGATAGCACCACGTTTTGTATAATCTAAAGTCAAATGTAACTGAACATGTTCTATATAGTTGATTTCATTCTCCTGTCCTTCACAACCAGAACTATATATTTGTATTTCTAAACGTTGATTACTTATTAAATTTCTAAAAATAAACATTCCAAAATGTGATCAATACTTGACAATTATTAACAAAAGTGGCTAACTTTTCCTTCATCATCATGTCTACGCATAATATAATAATTGACCAATTCTTAACTTACTGGGGAAGGTTGGATTTGGATGTAGAATTTATTGTGCATTTCATTTGTTTTGGTACACTTTTCCATGTTTTCTTTTCAGCGGCATCAATAAGACCAGCAGTGTCTAATATACCAAACCCAAAGGCAGTGTTGACCAGAAATCCTGCTCCATTTCTAGTCCATCCTGATTTGCTCTGTTGTATCAGAGGACCAGCTTGTGATGTCCATGTTACCAAATGTTGAACATCTCTCCATGTTAAATCAGGACTGGAAATGAAAGGGAATGAAGTTACACATCATGTACACAATGTAGCGGGTAAGTGGAGGAGGGCGAAGATTCTGCATTCACAGCGGCATTAGTCTACTCGTTTTCGATTTCCCAAATTAATGGCGTGAAATATATAACGCTTACAGCCTATGTTACAAAGGGTCGCACTTTAATAACTTTCTTATCAGCATCTCCTGATAGAAACCAAAGGACCAATATCAAAGTCCACCTTCGTCCTTGGCGTTAATTTAACTTGCTGATCTACAGTATCTAGTATTGTTATAAAAATATCCAGTTCTGTGAATTTGTTTCAAATGTTTTTGTTACAAGCTATATTTGATATTTGTTTGGTTTTCTGTTTATTTCATTAAAAGCCTAAATTCCCAGACCACTACATTACTACAGTACGAATACTACTTACTTTGATTCTAAAAGCAAAGCAATGATACCAGCAGCAAGCGGAGCAGCAGCAGATGTTCCAGTGTGACTCTTTGTACACGTGTCGTTCAAATCTGTACTGATCTTAACAAAGATATGATTAAAATGTTAACATTGTTTTTTCTTCAGCACCATCTAAATTTATATCAAGTTGGTAAAGGAATGTGCTTCATTTTTATTTAATGCATGTATGCATATGTATATGTGTAAAATGTACATAACAACATGTGGCAAAGTTACATGTTGTGAAGTAATATTTAAAATATTTACAATAAGGTATAATTCTACGTATAGGAAGTCAAAGTCTGTTATCAACCTAAATTGTTTTTCATCGTGTCCAACCTCACCCCAATTCGGCATACTTCCAGGCAATGTCAAAACCCGTATTCGGGATACGATCGGCGTAAATTTGAAGTAAAAAGTAAACGTTAAACTGTATTTGAACATCGTTACTTGATACATACTACTCTATCATCTATTGCCGAACCACTAGAATAAGTTGTTCCCATTGTTGAGGCACAAAGTTCTCCATACCATGGTCTTTTAAAAACTTGAGAGGCGCTACTGATGGATAGAGTGTAAATGCTTCCAGTATAGCCATCACAATCACAATTATCATATAATCTCCCACCATTACCACTAGCCCATACATAGATAACACCTTTACCTTTTCTTCCCTAAATCAAATAGTAAACAATGACTTACATGCGGCATGATCAAGAATAATAAAAAAAATGTAACACATCTTCATACAGGAAGAGAACAAATCAACGACAAGTGTATACATATCATAGATACTTCTTATATCAAATATCTCAGCGATACTTTGCTTAGAAATCCGTAAGATTTCCATCCAAAGTAGTAAATCATCATACTTAAAGGGATTGCAAATATCTAGCCCTTATATGTGTATCTAGTACACCTTTGACTTCTATTTGGGACATTCCAATTCTTTTAACGATGCCTATGGTTCTTACAATTCCAGAAAGAGTTAACCGGAAATGAAAATTACTCAGCTCCTGCAAGTGAATTCGTCACCAACCCAAAGCCCTATATAATGTAGATATACAGGGCTTTGAATCAACCTAACACCCGACCACAATAACATAATAAAATATGTTATCTCTCCTTACAAGATAGCGACATTTCTAACATAAAATGACAATCCCTTTAAAGGGACAGGTATAATAGGCCATTCTTTTTGACATATCGTATTTTAATCTCAGAAACGGGAATTTTTTTTAGCTCCACAGGTCACCGTAGACATTTGACCTTCAATGTGTGTCCAGAATTATCCGCGTTTGAATGCTAAAATGAAGACTCGTTATATATAAAAAAAAACATATATAGAAATAGTGAGTAAAATTCATAGTTTGAAGTATCATTAACGGAATTATGCGTTTTTCGTATATTTCTTGCACTTGAACTGAAGACGACATATATTCAAGACTTAAATCAACCTCGCAAAATGGCACACGTGTCCCTTGAAGATCACCTACCTCAGTGACACCATTTTCAAAGGCTTTGTGCGCTAGTTTCCCTGGTCCTTCCAGTGTGTTACCATCGTCATTGGGTCCCCATGAAGCACTGAATATATCTACTACATCAATAGCGTGTTGCAAAGCTTGACCTTCTAAAGTATCAGTTACTTCACCATCCAACATTCGAATTCCACCGATTTTGGCATTGAAAGCAATGCCAACTCCACATTTTCCATTGTTAGCTATCATAGCAACTTCTCCTGCACATCGGGTACCATGTCTTCAAAAGAGAATGTAAAGTTCTGAATGAATTTTATTCCATCGACTCATTATGTAGACCGAAACATCTGTATTCAAATGGCTATTTTGAGGGTTGTCTGCTACTCCAGCAGCTTTGAAAATGAATTTTGGTGGCTGTAGTCGTGTTTTATCACCCATATAATTTGCAAATAATGTAGTCACCCTCCCATTGCCAATGAAGTGACGGTGCAACAGTCTTACTTGTTTTCATTAGTTGGATCGTATCTTGGTGTTGGATCGTCGTCATCTCCATTGTAATCATAGCTAGCTTCTGGACTCTGAAACGGACCAGAATGGCGTAATAATATGTCAAAATAATACAGTTTTTTCAACGGGAAGAGTGTATAGAAACATTAATATATCACTCTACTCTTCACACTATACCTTATTCCTTTACACTGGGCAAACACAGAGTTCCGTTCAAAAAATTATCGATACGGACCATAATCGTATTTAAATATCCGTAACAAATACCCGTAAACGACTTTTTTTTTTCTGCCACCATACAGACATGTGACAAGCTGCCACCATACATACCTGTGACAATTGCCACCATACAGACCTTAGACGGGCTGTGAAGCTTTCTTAAGCTATGCTCCACCTATTTAGTATGAGGTGTTTAAGCGGAATAACCAAGATCTTAATTACACCTTAGAAGAAATAACACGTTAAATATATAAGTACCTTGATATATATATTATATTGTATTTACTTACGTAATTATCTGCCAAATCTGTATGTAATCTTTCAAGACCTAAAATAAATCAAGGTTCCTATGTAAACTGAAGAATCATGAATATATTTTTGTATGTGACGTGCTAGAGAAGACATTGAAGCTTCGTGGATGCAATAACCAGAAAATTCATTTAAGTCTACATATACAAATTATCAATGCTTTATTTAGTCTTTATTTCAACTGGTGCTGATCATGTCGAACACTGCTCAAAGTTTGAAAAAAAACCTTAGGCAAGTTTCTCACCGTCATCAAGAATAGAAACAGTAATGCCCTTTCCAGTATAACCTTTTTTCCAAGCTGGTATAACATGTAAATCTTTTTTGCTTTCACTTAAATCTTCTCGATCATCATGCTAAACACAAAATATAAATTTACAGTTTCACAGTTAACCGTCAATTTTATCGCTCTTTCGCGTGAGAACAGCTAAAAAAACTTTTGACTTTTAGAATAGAAAACCTCTTAAATCAAAAGATACGCTCAAAAACGAAGTTTGACTTTTAAAATAAAAGAAATCAAAAGCTACCATTTGAAAATATAAGATTACCGCTAGCTTATATCTTAGGTTCTTTTCTCCAGAGTAACAAAATGCCAAAGTTAGGCATTAAGTTAACAACGTTTCCGTAATAATATTCAGGTCTTCGCCGAAAGTGCCATTAACAACACAAAGTCAGTATATAACTTACTTACCAAATACCATTGTTTTTCCCATAGTGGATCGTTGAAACTTGTTTTACTGTAAATTAAATTTTCGGCTTCTCTTTTGGCAGTGAAATCACCATCGTATAGATCATCGTCTAAAAAATCTCGTTTTACTCTTATCTTTGTATACTGTTGATCTGCCCATTCAACCTAAATGAAGAAGGTATGAAATTATAATATAGGCCTAAGCATGGGCACTCAACTTTAAATAAAGTGGTTAAATATTGATATTGATAGTGCTGACCTCAGATTTTTCCCTTGCTACAATCTGCTTTGAATGATGCAAAGCTATTTTACGTAGTCCGTTCCCGTAAAAATTTGTACTCGGTTATGATTCAACAAATTTTAGGAACTTAGAGAAATGTTGCAATGTAACTAGTTGAAACAAAATACACAAGGTCAAAAGATATGTGGCCTTGGGGTCAGACATCTTGGTTACACTAAGACTTCATGAAATCCAATTCACTAAAGTGAGTTACAGCGCTTGCCTCACGGACTTCTCGACCTTATGGCGCTTTCAACACGTTGCATGTAGATTAGCCATGACTCGGTTAATGGGGGTGACAATGGCGACAATAATTGCACGATCTCTGTTGTGTGCTTATACCACGCTTTTGACGACCTTAGCACGCTTCAGGCAAATTTTCCATCGCATTAGCAACGAAGTAAGAACGCATTTCTGGTGTGACGGGGCCATAAGAGGCAATCCTTTAAATAGCATGTAATGAGATATGCAAAACATAAAGGTGAAATGACAGAAATTTCAGACTTGACACTAAAAATATGATGTCTACGATATAATTTTCATAAATTGATCATTTTTACAGCAATCGGGTATATATTGAATACAAAGATATAACAATATGAATAATTTCCCCAGTTTAACATCTCATATTTCAATTATTCTATGTTTTTTTTAGCAAAGTAGATGACAGTTTTTCGACAGAATTCCCCACTGAGTGTAGGATGTCATTAAAACTGATTTTATGAGAAAGATTAGTCAGTTTATTCCGACTGTCATTTCACTGTCATTAGGATCTATACATAGTTAACGAGCTTCTGGATAATTAAAACCCAAATGTCAACCATTTAATCATTTTGACGGACACTTAGCACCTTAACGGTAATCTTATCCAATCGATTCTAACTTACCACTTTTCTGATTGGCTCAGAATTTTACCACAAGGGGATTATTACCGGAAATTGAGGCCACGTGCGAGGCAATTCAAACGTGGCGTCAAATGAATTTATCCGACCTTTTCGCAACGGGTGGCTTCCAAAAGTCCCTTGTTTGGAATATTTATCCTATTATTTGTAAAGTTGTGATAGAGAAGTAATATCTTCCGGAAATTGCAGTATAAAGATATGGTAAATGAAATGGAGAAATCGTGATGATTGTTGACGCAGGAGGTTGACTTTCTGATTTAGAAATGAATCTTAAAGTCAAATTTGTATAATAGTATATAATAGTATAATATAGTCGAGCAAAGATATTTTTGCTCATCCGGGTACCGTCAAAACATATACAAAATAGTCAATTTCATTTTCAAGAGCAAAAAAATTAACGTAAATTAAGAGGTTTTTACTAATTCCTCAACTGAATATGAATGTGGGCAGAAAAAATGTATGCTTTTGTTAATTCGCAATTTTCAATTTGTTTCGCATTGTTCATCTTGACAATCTGCTTTATATTCAATAGTCTAATTTTTTTTCTCGGTGTCTCTTTCTGTCGACTTCGTTGGACAGTGATACTTGATTATTGTAGAGGTTAGAATTAATGATATATAAGGTAATGTAAATCAGTGATACTAGATTATTGTAGAGGTTAGCAATGACATAGGTAGTGTTAGTCAATGATACTATACTATAATAAAGGTAAGCAATGATACAAGCGGTGTAGGTCAGTGATATTAGACTATAGTATAGGTAAGTTCTGATATACAGGCAGTGCAAATCAGTAATATTAGACTTTTATAAAAGAGGTTAGTAATGATACAGGTAGTGTAAGTCAATGATATTAGAATGAAATTGAGGTTAATAATGTTACAGGTAGTGTAGGTCAGTAATATTAGACTAAAGTAGAGGCAAGTAATGTACGTCAGTGATATTAGAACAGGGGTTAGTAATGTTACAGGTAGTGTATATCAATGATATGAGACTAAAGTAGATGGTATAGGTAGCGCAGATCACTGATATAAGAGTTGGGTAATAATGTAGGTAGTGTATGTCAGCGATATTAGACGATAGTAGAGATAAGTAATGATATAGGTAGTGTAGGTCATTAATAGTAGACTATAGTAGAGATAAATATTGATACATTAGCGAGGTCCGTGATATTAGACTATAGTAGAGATAATGATATAGGGCGTGTTGGTTAGTGATATTAGACTATAGTAGAGGTTAGTAATGATATAGGTTGTGTAGGTCAGTGATAGTAACGAAATAGGTAGTGTAGGTTAGTGATTCTAGACTATAGTAGATAAAATGATGTGGGTTGTGTGGGTTAGTGATATTAGACAATAGTAGAGGTTAGTCATATTACTGGTAGTGTAGATCAGTGATTCTAGACTATATTAGAGATAATTATATAGGTAGTGTAAGTGAATGATATTAGACTATTGTTGAGGTAAGTAATGATATAGGTAGTGTAGGCAAGTGATACTGTGATACTAGAGTCTAGTAGAGGTTAGTAATGATATTGGTAGTGTTGATCAGTGATATTAGATTGTACTGAGGTAAGTAATGGTATAGGTAATGTAGGTCAGTGATAACCTATTAGACTATAGCAGCGATTAATTATGGAGCTAAATAATGTTACAAGTAGTGTAGGTCAGTTATGGTAGGTCAGTGATAGTAGGTTATTAAGAAAATATGATGGTGTTGATCAGTGATATATAAGAGGTAAGTAATGTATAATAAGTGTACCTTAGTGATATAAGACTAAATGAAATGAAATGAACGGAGTTTTAATTTTGCCAGGACAGTGGCATTAGCCTGCTCTTTTTCGATTTCCAACTGTCGAGGGATCTTTAACGTGCACAGCCTGTAGCTCACGGGACCTCGGTTTATTGTCCCATCCGAGCGAATAGACGCTCTTTCCATGTCAGCCCCTCTTACCTGCATCACTGACCGGGGAAACCGGGTTGAAAAATCATCGACCGCAGCTCCCGATATAAGACTAAAGAAGAGGTTAGTAATGATGCAGATAGATTTTGAAGTTATAGTATTCAAGTAATTCTCAGCATTTTATTGTCCCATTAACACTTGTTTATGGATGTGAATGCATTTTGTGATGCCTTTGATGCCTTCAAAATCATCCGTGGAAGCCAAAGTTCATACAAATTTGAATTCAATAAGCAAGATTAACAATTTCGATTGTAGTTTAACTGTTTTCACTGAAATGTGAAAACTTTGTCTCAATTTAAGAACTCCACGATAGAGTAATTTTTAATCTGTTCCATATTCCATCTGAGACAAAAATTTGTATATACTAACCCTAGAATCGTCTATTAACCGTTTCGTGTGATGATCCGCACTTCGCCTGGATCTAGAAGGCACATCTTTGTGGCGTAAGAGATAATTATCATCAAAACCTCTTAACTGAAAAAAAAGAGAAATGATATTTTTATAAACTATTTAAATGGAAAGAAATATTAACCTTAGCACACGTCTATAATTAAATGTTTCGAACTTGTTTGAAGTGTAGACATGAGAACTTGTTAAACTTTAGTAGTGACACAGGCTGAAATAAGTCAGTTGTCTGAATAAAACACAGCGTGAGTAACAACATGTTGCCCTAATAACTCTCATCCTGAGGGAAGGGTTTAAAAAATCATAACAACCGGAAAGGTGTTTTACACGACTTCTAAACCGGGAGGACTCATTTCCTGAAAACAATAAATCATAATGAAACAAGGGGCACCACTCGTGCCTATAAATCACTGGTTGAAGTTTTATGCAACTTTTCGAAATGTTTCCTCCGTCGTCCTCAGGCACATAATGAGAAGAAGTGATGGGCAAACTATAATATAGTATTATATAGATTAATGCTTATTTTTAATAATAGAAATTACATTGTTTCAAATTACTAACTATGGTTAAAGTTGAAGTATGTTTTTATTAAATTGAATACATTTATGAATATGAATAATTACAAGTTGATAATTTTATCATATGCATGCGATAAACGAACACCTTCATATCTGTTAAGGTCAGGCTGATATCTTCTCATGTTGATAGCTTCATGAAGTCTCCTGGATTTATCTAGATGTGCTTATTGATTGTCAGTATGTTGGTGTTGTCAAAGTTGACTTTATGTTCTGTTTTCCTTCCCATAGCAAGATGTTCAGACACGGCAGATGTTCCTTCATTGCCGGGCTTGTCTTGATGGTCTTTGAGTCGAACATCAAGGGGTCTCTTTGTTTCCCCAATATAAGAACTTCCACAGGAGCACTCAACTTGGTAGACACATCCCTTAGGTTTTTGGTTGTTGAGGGGATTCAATTTACCACTGGCTCTGAGCAAATCTTTAAGCGTTGAGTTGCCAGAGAACACTGTTTCAATGCCGACTGACTTTTTCAGGATCTTCTTGATTTGGTATGATGCCTTTCCGATGAATGGGATAGCTAAGCGGGTTGATGGTCTGTTGGGATTAGGCTGTTGGTTGGTTGGCCATTAATACTGATCGAAAAGCTTGATGTACAAAGGCTGGGGGGTAGTTGTGCAAGCAAAATACTTTCTTGATGTGTTGTAATTCTTGTTGAAATCCTTTTCGCTCTTCTGACCAGTGCTGTGATGGCTGCCCTTTTGACATGTTGAGGGGTGTTGGAATGGTAGTTCACATACTGATCTGTATGTGTGGGTTTCCTGTACACGCATGTCTTCAACTGACCTCCTAACCGCTTAATTCTCACATCCAGAAAGGGTATAGAGTCATCTTCTTCTGGTGAAATTCATCCTCTTATGTTGAGCATTAAGATGCTGAAGTAGATCTCTAAGCATGACAAAGGTGTCATCAACTTTCCGGAACCAGCAGATTGGTGAGATCGGAGAAGTTTCCATGGTCTTTTCCTCAAGGTCTGTTATATAGATTTCAGTAATCAATGGTGACAAATGGCTTCCCATAGGTAGATCGTGGATTTGTTCATAGATCTCATCTCCCCATGTGAAGTAGGTAGAGGACATACTGCACATCTGAATAAGATCGACGATGCTGTCTGTAGTAAGTGTAGTATCTAGTGGGGTCTCTAACTTAGATATCATATCTCTTATGATACTCGACACATCTTTACATGGGACATTGGTAAATAAGTCGACAACATCATATGAGTACATCTTCCCTGTGGTCTGCAGTTCTTTCAATTTGGTGACAAATTCTTCTTTAATGAATGAGTCAGCTGTTTCCCCAGAGATGCCAAGATTCTGTTAAGGCCTAGCAAATGCAAGAAAATGGTGGCTGAATGCAAAAAAGTGAGTCTCACATTGAAAACCGCTACAGGTATAGATCGCGGTTTAAACAGTTGTTTCCGATAGTAATATCTAGTGATGTGACCCGGAAATGGCAGTTGAACCATCAACTGATAAAGTAGTTAAACCCACTGTACTTAAATCTGCTGATGAAAGTCTGCTAATTCTAAATGTTCTGGTGCCAGTCATGGACCTGGTCCAAACGCAGTCCCATTCGCTAATACTTCTACTGCACCTGGGCCACAGATCAATTTCTATCCAGGGCAGGGTCATTCCCATTTTACTCATCCAAATCCGGTCCCAGAATCTTTTGGAAAGTTCGGTACTTGTCAGCAGCATTCCTCTCGTCAAAGTCAAGAAAGAGCACCTGATGATAGAAACTTCTTTCATGATTTCCTGATCCCAGAATCAACAGACAAGGGAAGAGAGTATGAAAACCTATAATTTACAAAGTGTTAATGGTAGTTTATGTCTTCTTTTTTATCTCAAAACATAAAACGTCTATAGAGAAAGCCACTCTATTGAATATTAAAGTCATATTGGAATTTGTTGATATTCTTCCCAGGAAAGAAAATTGAAGAGTTTTTAGTTTTATCCGTAACAAGTTATTTAGGGCTTGGAATTTGAGGTTGTAACATTGCGGTTAAGCAATGTTACGAAAGCACAGGCACAGGTATGTAGGCGTAACCTCTAGTGATAGAGTGTTTGTGAAGTTAGTTTAAAAGAATGATATAGAATATTTGAAATGCTAATCCATTATCTTCCGAATATGAAATATATAAGAAGAATACTGGTTCCAACAGGAACATTAATAACCATGGAAATCATAATAAACATTTTCACTGGTGAAACTGAGGAATCGTCCTATGAAAAGGAAAATGCGTATTTCATACAAAAAATATATATAATTTTTTGGGTGAGGGTTTATAGTGAAGCAGGCTTTTTGTAATTTATTAGCAAACATTTTATATCTGGGGTTTCAACATCATAATATTGTGAAAAGGACATCCTCTCTTTCAATCGAGGGGGACAATTTAGCAAAGCACCTTGACAGACGATTAAAAGTCGGGAAACGGATTTCCACGGAATATTTTAGATTCGAGATTATTTTTGTTAAAACACACAAGTTATTATACGTTACATTTTTATTGCCGTTTTAGTTTAAACGTAGTCGGGTATGTTTTATGGCAAAACGTTGAACAAATACGTCCAAGTTAATTTTCTGGGTTTGTTTTTTTTTTTTTTGATCAAATATTTATCCATTTTTCCTACTTTGGGTTGTTTGATTCATATGAATACAATTTAGGATAATATATGTCTATTGGTTAGTATTTATAATCAACCAATCAAATCTTTTGAATTTTGAGACGGGACAGATTACAATCCAGTATCAGACCAATAATTTTGTTACCAATGACGCTTTACTGCAGACTTTTTATGATTTTCAACGAACCCAATTGTATCAAATTGTCTATTCTAATGTAATTAAATTTAAAAATGTTATGAAAAGCTATGATGTCTGGTTTCATCCTCAGCTAAGTATAAACAGACATCTATTTCTATCAATAGTCGACTCTACCTACATAGTATGTATATGAGAAGGTGGCTAACGCTCGTCACGACCACCTCTACTTCAGACGACTTTCTACCATTTATGAAACATTATCCCAACCTAATATGAATCGTTTATTTGAATATTTCCCTTCACACAAGACCTATTTTATATCTCCCTCAGTGTTCCCCTTCATACTAATCTAACTTTTATTCAATAAAAATACTAAAAAAAATTACACCCATCGTTTGAATGTATCTTCTTCCGGTTGATTTGGCAGTAAATATATTTCGGTCAATACGATTGGTCGGCTATAATTACCTGTCGAGTAAAAACCAAAATGAAAGTAAAAGCATGGTTATTGACTTATCTATGTATTTAATTACTAAGAAAAAAGTAATTATATTCAGCATCAATTTCCTTACAAAATAGATAGCATTCTGCCCTGAAACCCGCCAACCGGAAGTAGATACATTGAAACGATGGGTAGAAAGTCGTCTGAAGCGGAGGTGGTCGTGACGAGCGTCGGCCACATTCTCATATATATACTATATGTAGATAGAGTCGACTATTGATAGAAACAGATGCCTGTGGGGGGGCGGGGGGGGGGGGGCAAGATTTGATTTAGGGGGTTTGGCAGGTGTGACAGGTGAGATAGGGAGCCAGCTGTCCAGCTGTACATGAGTTTAGTAGCACGTGTAGAATGATGTAATAATTTCAACTCGCCACGGTCCAGCGACTACCAGCTGGTCTGAGGTACACCACTGGACAGCTCTAGATCATTTAGACCAAATCCAGGGTCATCCCCATCCCAGCTCATTCAACTCACCACGGTCCAGCGACTACCAGTTGGTCCGAGGTAAGAAATGAACAACCCATACCAGGTGTGACAGGTGTAACAGGTGTGATAGGGAGCATGAGTTTAGTA